CCAAGTAGAGAAGTTATTGTTTAATAAAGACACACCTTAAAACCAGGATCTTAGTGGCAGTAAGATCCTTGGTTCTCAGATCAAATCTTCCACGTCTCTCTTTCGAGTTGCCTGTGTCTTTGCGCTATGTTTGTTATGGTTAACTATGAGGGACCCAGTAGATCAAATCCGCCTCTCACATTTTGGTGGTGACTGTGAGATACGTAATTTAAAGATAAGACAACAACGTCCCTACCTCCCCTCCCTCCCCGATAAAAGAGAAAGAATTAGAGAAGAAAGAGAAAGGACCAAAGAACCGAGTCCGAAGAATGAAAAGAAAAAGGATTAAAAAAAAAAAAAAAAAAAAAAAAAAATGGAAGAGAATTTTTTTTTAAACTAACAAGATAAACCATGACGAAGAACGAAACAACAACCAACCCTATGACCACCGCAGTGAAGGAAGTAGAACACCAGTAGAACCCTACTACCGGAATAACAATGGAAATAACACCCCACGATACCAGAACCCGTAACCCCTCCAAGCCGTCCTGAGAGAAATTGCTGCCGCTTTTTGAGAAGCCACAGCTGGAGTTGACGCTGCCACCTGCCCACCTGGAAGAGAGACTAACCTTGTCACGGTCGAAATTTTCAAAGGTAAAGAGGAAGAAGATCCCCTTGAATGGATCGAAACCTTTGACCGTGCTGCCAATGCCAACAATTAGTCCCGCGAATGAAAAATAAAAATAGCCTCTGGCTACCTCCGTAGTGTTGCCGCTAGTTGGTATGATGGAATCAAAGACGACCTCGAATACTGGGATAATGAACACGACCCCGATGTAAGCTTCGTTACCCTTTTTGTGCAATACTTTGCCACCCCCGAATGTCGTCACAAGTGGCAGGTGGACCTTAACTCCCTCGTCCAAAAGGAAAACGAACGTGTCGACTCGTATTCCTATAAATTTCGAAAACTCCTTCGACGAGTTGACCCTGAAAATCGCTTACTGCAACTATATGTAGTGCGCATGTTTTTATAAGGCTTGAAGTCGAAGATCGTATCGTGGTTAAGTGTCACAGAACCCCCAACATTGGAACAAGCGATAGAAGGTGCCTGAAAGATCGAAGCCAGAGGATATTATCATGAAAAAAACTATCAAAAAAGAGAAAAGGAATATTTAGAAAGCGACATCGACGAATTAAATAAACGAATGCAGTTGATGACTGCCAATTACGAAAAACTTATCACCGCCCTCGCCGTTCAAGTTGAAACGAATGCTCCAAGACCCTGCCCAGCCTACAATAATAATAACTCCGGTCCTCAGTTCACGTGTTATAATTGTGGGAAAGCTGGACATATGGCCCGAGAATGTATGAGCAAAAGAAGGAATCCGCCCCAAAGAACCCAAAACAACCCCCCACTCGAATCGTACCAAGACCTCGCAGTGTGAATTTTGTTGGACTTTAAGAAGACGAAGGATACACCCCCGAAGCCGAGGAAGAAGTTTTCATAACTCCTGAAGTTCGTTACCAACCGTTCCCATTGCAAAGAACCCAAAGTCATATTAAAAAATCGGAGTCGCAGACCGAAGAAAGGTTAAGGAATAATTCACCTGCAACTGAGTTCCCCCCTGTAGCCTCCGTAAATGAAGGTCCCAACCTCATAACACTCACCCCGAATGATTTTGCAATCCCGAAACCCCGCTGAAAAAAGGGCACATCGGAAATCGACAAACTTGAACCATATAATGTGGTATACGATCTTTTGAGCATGAAAGCGAACATTACTATTGGGCAAGTATTGAAATACCCGAACCAACGAAGAAACCTTGCCCTAGCCCTAAAAAGACCGTTCCTCCCGGAAGAAATGCCAACACCACCTCCTGAAATGATGGAAACCAATACCGCCCAAACCAAAGAAAGTGGTAAAACCACCGCCGCCCGTTGCTACGTAAGGATAAAGAATAACCTGATTATTGCCGTTCTCAACTCCGGAGCCGCCGTGAGTATAATGTCGATAAAAACGATGGACAAACTGAAGCTCCAAATCAACGAACCTTCAACCACCATTATCGTAACCACCAATGGAACCCGAGTTCGAGCTCTGGGAAGAATTAAAGACGTAAAATTAGCCCTTGGTAGTATGATGGTTTCCACCACTTTCCACATAATCGAATCGACCGATGATATGTTGCTCCTTGGTATGGACTAGTTCAAAAAAGCCCGTGCCTGCTTACATTTCGATGAGCGAAAGCTCTTTATTAATTATATGGGACAATCCACTGAAGTTCCACTTTCGCATGAGGGAGACCCGCCCCTCCCCAAAACTGGTAACAAAGATGAATCCGAAGGAACGTTTGACGAATTTGAATACGAGGACAAGGAGTTGGAAGAAGCCGAAGGATATTTCACTGAAGAAGTCCTGAGTGACGAAATCTACAAGAATCCATGGGAAAACTATGTTAGTCCAACCGTTTACCTGGCCGATGTCGAAGAATTACTGATTGCTGGAAAAGACCTCGAAGAAGAAACCCTGGAAGAAAAAATAGAAAGAAACATTAATACCGAAGATCTGACCCCCCGAACAACAGGAAAAAGCTCATACCCAACTTATCCAAGAAAGGAGTATCTTCACAAAGGACATGAGTGATCTAGGACAAACAAACGTATTAGTTCACGAATTTGACACTGGAACTGCTGCTCCAATCAAACAAGCACCATACCGTGCCGCCCCTAGCGTAAGAACCTTCATTAGAAGGGAAATTGAACAATTAAAAGAAAA